GGGGGGGGGCTCAACCCCCCACTGGAAGTTTCTTGCAACACCCTCTCAACCTCCAAGATGTCCTGACCACCACGTCTTTCTCAAGAATAGATTTTTCTACCTTGGTCTGTGCACGGGGTTACCTAGTCACCGTGGTGCTTCCTTAGGCTCTTTCCCTGGGTTGCTGATCCACTTTCAATTTGGGGTCTGTTGTCAGCTTCAGGGATTGCAGGTTTCCTCCCCCACTCCAAGGCCACCACAACAAGCTAGTAGGTTTGTCCTCTAAGGAGGGAGTACTCACAATCCCCTAGGCAATGTATGGAGCCCCATGTTGGATGCCAAAATTGTTAGAAATACTGGGTACTGCAAGAAATCAAACACATGCTCAGAAGTACCTTGGCAAAATGTCCTCTCTGATAAGTGGATGCTGATCCATAATAGGGAGGGGAATGGGAAAAATGGAGAAACTTTGATGGAGCAAAGGGAAGGTAAGGGTGGGGAGACATGAAGGTAGGAAAGATGGTGGAATGAGATGGACATTATTACCCTAGGTACAATGTATGACTGTACATATGGTATGACCAGCTACATAGTATACAACCATAGAAATGTACAGTTGTGCTGCAATTGTATACAATGAAATCAAAATGCATTCTGCTGTCATATATACCTAATTAAAAAAGAAGAAGAACAACAACAACAACAACAACCTTGGCAAGGCAAACACCTTCTGCAGAAGGTGTGCTACTGAACAAAGTCTGAAAGGAAGTACACTTTGGTGGACAGTCCACCTATTTTTATCCCTAAGGCAGCACTGTCCCATGCTCTGATAGGAAGAGCTTGGGGTAACAATCTATGCAATGGGCTAATTTGAAAATTGGGGAGGGCAAAGGGGTATAGTTAACATGACTATGATTGTGAGAGCAGAGCAATGAACAGATAGCTGCAAAGGACAGGTACCAAGAAAAAGTTAATGAGTAGATAGCACTCCCCATCATCTGGTTGCTAACAACCTCTGGGGAAGGTGAAGGATCACGTTTTCCAACACAAGCAATCACTCCCCAGATAACTCTCTTCCTGCCCTTTTGGTTACATAGGCAGGATGTGAGGAAGAAGCATGAGGCGAAAGGAAACCTGAAATCTATAAAAGGGGCAAGACACCCCTACTCCCTTGGGCACCAGCTCTGGACCCTCTCCTCTCTGGAGGAATATCTCTCTCTCTCTCTCTCTCTCTCTCTCTCTCTCTCTCTCTGTTCTTTACACAAAACTTTTTGCTCTTGCCTTAGTATTTCTCAGGTGTTTAATCGTCAGAGTGTGTGTGTGTGTGTGTGTGTGTGTTGTGGGAGGGGTGGGAGGGGGGTTAAGGACCTTATCCTGATTTTCAAGACCAGTTTCAATTGGATGTTACATCCCAGTTAAGGCTAAATACTATATTCTGAAAATGGACCACCAGAATTTCTGTTTCTCACAGAAGATAACATGACATACAACACAAGATAACCAACTGACACTGATTAAAAAAAAAAAAAAAAGTGCTTGACTTCAGTAGAAATCACAGAAATACAATTAATGCCTCACTGAGATTCACCAAAATAACTGAAATTAAAAAGATCATCATGAGAGTTTTCAAGGATGTAGGCTGAGGATGTAGCTCAATTATAGAGCACTTGCCTAGCATGTGCTATTATAGGATAGACAAAGCTGGACACCTAGGAATTAGCAGGAAGCAGGTTTATTGGCCGTAGCCAGGCCCAGAGGTGGCTTTTGCCTAAACCAGTTTGTCCCTCTGAACCCTGAGTTCAGAAATGCTTAGAACTTTATACCCAGAGTGTAGGGGAAGAAGGAGCTCAGAGGCTCACAATCTGCAGAAGTCCACATAAAAGTAGTTTTGTCCTACTATTCTGGGCAATCAACCCAGGCCTGGAAAATAAATCAAGGACACTCTGTGAAAACCAGTGCCTAGGAAAGGAAGAGGCTCCACCCACCCACCCCCCCACACACAAAAACACTACCACCAAGCTGGTTTCCAAGGAACCTGATTTGTACCATTTACTCCTATCTTGTGGACTCCTAGGGATCTAACTTCTATCCTTTGAAATGCAAATGCCTCTGTGAAAGCTCCTGGCTCCACCAGACTGCCTTATCACAGTCTACTCTGAACACACTTCCCACCTGAAAACTTTTTTTGCAGAAATTCTTGCTGATAGTCTAAGAACAGATTTGGTGAGGGTCCCTAGAGAAGCTTAATTAAGATTTTTCTGTGGAGGAGGGAGTGCCACTACAGTGCAAGGCCCTGGGTTCAATCCCCATTGAACCCCACCTCCCTCAAAAAGTTAAAAAATAATTTGCAAGGATGTGCAGTATCTAGACCTCTTATATATTGCTATAGGAGTTGGAACTATTATAATCTCTTCAGAAAATATGTGGGCAACTGAAGTGGCACCCCTTTTCTCCACAGAAAAGTCTTAACTGAGCTTCTCTAGAAATCTTCACCATGCCTGATTTTAGGACTGTCAGCAAAAGAGTCTCTGCAAAAGAGTTCAATGTAGATAAACTTCCTATTTTCATGTCGCCCAGTTTTACTTGGCCATTGGCCGGGAAGATACCAGAACTCCAGGTGCTGGACACCCCCTTACTAGTTTTTCACAAATATATCCAGTGTAGTAGTTTGTAGAAATGTGCAAACATGGCCTCTGGCCTTGAACTGGGACTTCACAAAGATGTCTACATTTTAAAGGTAAGTTACTAACTGAGCTCCATGGTAACAACTGGCAGGGGGAGGAAAGAAAAGGGAGAAGAAGCTCTCCCTTTCTTAGATGTTGTCCTTGAAGGGTTAACTTGCCCAAAACAGTGGGAAAAAAAAAAAAAAAAAGCTGCTTTTATGTGAACTTCTGAGCCCCTCCCCTTACATGCTGGGTATAAAACTCTGAAACTACCTGAACTCAGGGATCAGGAGATTAATTGATTACAGCAAAAGCTGTGCCCTCTGAGCCTGGCTGCAGCCAAATAAAACTGTTTCCTGCTATCTTTGGTGCCTTGCCTCGTCTGTCCCTACAATAATACAACATCTACTGAAGCTGAGTTTACACATGCCCTGTGACTCAGCAATTCTGTCAACAGGATTATGCCCAATGTGAAAGAGGGGGCAAGAGATTTGACTCCTTGTTCTGCTCCACTAAAAACTCAGGAGGCAGTTTTGGCAAGGGGAAAAAAAAAAAAAGCTGGCTTCAAGGAATATAAAAGAGACTTTCCTTTTCCAATTCTCTGTCTTATCAGACTCAGGGGTACAGTGGGACAAAAGGCAGGAAACATACATATATAGATTTAGCTAGGAAATGTGTCACTCTCTCAGGTTCCCAGGTGCCCCTTAAGGCCAGCCTCCCTCAGCATCCATTCTCAGTATGAGGAAGTTCAGAAGTTAAAACAATTTGGAGTTTTTAATTTCAAAGGGGGGCTATGTTTCAATAGACTTATGTGTATACTAAGCAATAAAATTGCTTAAGTACATAAACAAAATAAATACCATTTGGGGATAGTAGTTATTTCTCAGACAGAAGGTGAAAAATGATTGGAAAGAGACTAGGGAGGAGTACTTAAAGGGTTTAACTTGATCTGTACTTTTTTTTTTTTTYTTAAATATTTATTTTTTAGTTCTCGGCGGACACAACATCTTTGTTGGTATGTGGTGCTAAGGATCGAACCCGGGTCGCACGCATGCCAGGCGAGCGCGCTACCGCTTGAGCCACATCCCCAGCCCAAGGTTTAACTTGATCTGAAATACTAATTTCTTTAATCTTATTTATTTATTTATCCATTTTTCTGTAGTTCTGGGGATTGAACCTAGGGGCACTTTACCACTGAGCTACATCACCAACACTTTCTATTTTTTGTTTGAGCAGGGTCTCGATAAGTTTATGAGGGGCTTTCTAAATTGCTTAGGCTGGCCTGGAACTTGCCACCCTCTTGCCTCGGCCTGTGGAGTTGCTGGGGCTACAGGCAAAGGCCAAAGCACCTAGCTTCACTAATTTCTTTAAAAGAGAATTTAAAGCAAATGTGATAAAATACTAAGATCTGGGCTGGGGCTGTAACTCAGTGGCAGAACGCTAGTCTGGCATATGTGAGGCACTGGGCTTGATCCTTAGCACCACATAAACAAAGAAAATAAAGGCATTCTGTCCATCTATAACTATAAAAAAAATTTAAAGAAATTTAAAAACTAAGATTTGATAAATCTGTGTGATAAAATTTTTTTTCTTGTTTTTTTTAATTTTAGTATTCTTTATAATTTTTTGTGGTTGTTGTTCTTGCAAAATGGCTGTAGCTGGCCTCAAATTTGGGACCCTTCTGCCACAGCCTCCCACATCACTAGGATTATAGGTGGGCACTACAATGCTTGCTATTCTTTTTTGTTTTAATATTTATTTTTTAGTTGTAGTTAGACACTACACCTTTATTTTATTTATTTTTATGTGGTGCTAAGGATCAAACCCAGGGTCTCGCACATGCTAGGTGAGTGCTCTACTGATGAGCCATAACCCTAGCCCCTCGGCTATTCTTTATAACTTTCTATATGCCTAGTATATTTCTTCTCCTTCTCCTTCTTATTCTTCTCTGGATATGGTGGCAACTTGTCTATAATCCCTGAGACTAGGGAGGCTGAGGCAGGAGGATTGAAAATTCAAGACCAGCCTGAGCAATTTAGCAGGTCCCTGTTTCAAAATAAAATATAAAGGGCTGGGGATGTAGCTCAATGGTAGAGCCTTTGCCTAGCACACATGAGACCCTGGGTTGTCAATTCCAAGTGCCACACATAGAAAGAAAGAAAGGAAGAAAGGAAGGAAGGAAGGAAGAAGGAAAGAAAGAAAGAAAGGAAGGAAGGAAGGAAGGAAAGAAGAAGGAAGGAAGAAAGAAATTGATTATGTGTCAATTACAATTTTGAAAATATTATGAAAAAGAAATTGTGCTGGGCCAGATGGTGCATGTCTGTAATTCTAGCAACTCAATAGGATGAGGCAGGAGGATTAAAGTTCAAGATCAGCTTCAGCAATTTAGCAAGACCCTGTATCAAAATAGAAAAAATAAAAAGGGTTAGGGAATGTAGCTCAGTGGTAAAGTACCCCTAGGTTTGATCCCCAGTACCACCACCACCAAAAAAAAAAAAAAAAGTGCGGCTTATGTTATAAATATATATTTGAATATACAAGATTACTAATTAAAAGAGATTTTAAAAAACTATACCCTTAAATTTTTGTTTCAAAATAAAAAAGATTGCAACACAAAGTATATTGTCTGTGTTTCCAAATATACCATATATACACCACAGATACTGGCACTTTACCTCTATGATGTGACATGATGTGATGATGTGATGAAAGTAATACTTTTACCTTTGTGGTCTCCACAAAACTCATAACCCCAGTCTAATTGATATGGGACAGACAGATCTGAGTGGTGGTAACATGAAATTAAGTGAATAATTCTATAAAATGAGCCTACTGTGCTGACGTCCCCATGCTTTCTTTTCCAAGAAGCAATTTATCTGCAGCTCTGCCTGGTTTAAGTGCACAGGATATGGCACATTCCTCAGCAAACTACTTGTTATCTGTAAGAGAAATACAGGCCTGAAATAATGTCTATAAGGGGGCTGGGGTTGTGGCTCAGTGATAGATCACTTGCCTCTTATGCGTGAGGCACTTGGTTCGATTCTCAGCATCACATATAAATAAATGAATAAAATAAAGGTTCATCAACGACAACAAAAAAATTAAAGGACTAAAAAAAAAAAAAAAAAAAAACCTAATGTCTATAAGTACACAAGTTACCCTAAAGGGTGGAGGGGAACTTTCATGACCCTTTCACAGACCAAACACCTGAATTCAGGGAGATAAGGATAATTCCTCCCGGACCATAAATCTGTATGAACAGGTTCCAATTAGAACCAGTCAGCATGAACCAAAGTGACCTAGAAAGGTCATGGCAGTAGGGACTTAAAAGTGTGATGTCATCTTGCTGTCAGTCAAAAATCAAGAGGTGAACCTGTGTGGGAGTGTCTGGAAACTTCTTTGGGACCCTCAAAAAACTGGAGGGCAGGAGAGGCACTTTGTTCCTCTCCTCTCTCAGAGAATCCACACTCACCTTTGAAAGTGTACCCCTTTCCCCTTTCCTAACCCTTCTAATAAACATATGACTTACTCTGAGCAACATGTTTGAAATCTTTCTGATTTGATCCAAAGCATTACAGGTTGAAGTGGGGGGCCTTTGCACTGCCTCAGTTTCTGAGAAGGTCCCAGCTCTGTAACATAATCATGAGAAAAACAGACAAATGCCCATTGAAGGACCATCTACAAAATTCTTGACCAGTACTCATCAAAATTCTCAAGGTCATCAAAACCAAGGAAGTCTGAGAGACTGTGACTAAGGAGACATGATAGCCACATACTGTAATGTTTGCTAGCCTGGGTGGGATCCTGGCAAAGAAAAAGGACATACAGTAAAAATAAAGGAAATTCTTTTTTTTTAACCACTGAGCCATATCCCCAGGTCTTTTTTTATACATATATTTTTAATTTTAGAGACAGGGTCTTGCTAAGTTGCTTAGAGCCTCACTAAGCTACTCAGACTGGTTTTGAACTCAATATCCTCCTGCCTTAGCCTCCCAAGCCATGGRATTACAGGCCTGTGCCACTGTACCCAGCAAAACAAAGGAAATTTTAATAAAATATAGGCTTAAAGGTAATACTATTTAGAAGAAGAAAAGTATACTTTGGCTCACAGTTTCAGAGGGTCAGTTCATGTCCTTGACTACCTCGCTTGCTCTAGGCCCAAGATGAGGCAGAAGGGCTTAATGGTGGAGCACTGCTCTATTAGTGATGGCCAGGAAGCAGAGAAGGCACTGCAAGGAAGATGAACCCTTCCACCACAACAACCCACCTCCTCCACCTGGCTACAGTTAGCACCCAGTTGATCTATTCAAACTGGGATGAACTGAAAAGGTTACAGCTCTCACAATTCAGTCATTTCACCTAAGAACATTCCTGCATTAATACTGAGCTTCTGGGGAGACCCCTAATATCCAAACCATAACAGTTGCTGAGGGGCTCACTAAAGTTATTCAGGCTTCCACAGAACTTGTGATCTTTTTGCCTCCAGCCTCCAGAGTCACTGTTATTAGAGTAGTGCACAACCGCCCAGGCTTGGTTCATTAATTATGACAAATGAACCTATAATAGGGGAAATTGAATTGGAGTGTATATGGAAACTCTATGCTATCTTCACAAATTTTCTGTAAATCTAAAATTGTTCTAAAATTTAGAGTTTATTAAAAAAAATTAATCTACCCACAAGCAAATACCCAAAGTCCGGAAAGCAACACAGGTGATTTCAAACCCTATGCTTTTTTCACATATAAAACCCTTCCAGCTTTATCTATAGATAACGTTCTGTCTAAACAAAAAATTCCTTAAGGGCAGAGAAATGCCTTTTTCTTTCTTTTTTGCGCCTGGCACACTATTGACGCTTAGACCAGCAGTTTAAGYTAAATACTCATAAAAAGTCACAGAACCAAAAGAATCTGAGACTTTCAGAACCTCAGAACTTGAGTAGGTTGGATCCCGACCCTCTTCCCGGGTTGGCTCCTTCAAGAAGCCCCAAATCTGCTGTCTAGGCTGTTTTGCAAGAGTCCTGTGCTGCCATCTATCGGTATCTGGGAAGCGTCTCGCTACCTTGCTATAAATCTCGGGGTAGGTAGGCGAGAAGAGGACTTAAAGGCTAATTAAACTTCAGAACATCTGTAATAGTCACAAACTTCACTCAACACCTGTACAAGGGGAAAAACCCACTTTCTCCAGCAATTGCAGACCCCCCTAACCCCGTATTAATACTTATACTTGTAAAACCCACAGATCTCCTTTACCTCAACAGATAAAGATCTGACCCTTAGCTCCCCTGCCAGAAACTAGGTCCGCCGGCACATCGCAGGCTTCAGAAGCCTGAAACTCCACCACCGATTCCCCTATTTTCACAGACCCCGGAAATTTCTTACACTACCATGCACACTGACCTATCCCATTCGGGGAAACGCACTTGCTAACCCAGACATCCCTACAAAAAAGTTTCAAATTTCGCAGGCTGCTTACGCCAGCAAGAAAGTTCGAGAGAGTCCTAGCAGGTCTCGGAGCCCTCAGGCTTGCGCTTTGTCCCGGGTTCCGGGTCCCCACCCCCGTCTGGGTCGAGTCAGCTAGGGCTTGCAGCCGGCTGACCAAAGCCCCGCCCCTCTAGACCTGTCATCACAGAAGCCGCACGTGGCTGGGGTGGGAACTCAGGCGACCTGCAGCCATCACTTTGTCTCCTTCGTCATCCATTGGGGCCTCCGCCGCCAATCAGAGGCAGCGGATCCGGGCTGGAGCCTGAGCGCCTGGGTGAGGCCAGAGAAAGAAGGGGCGGGCGAAGAATGCCTCAGAGATCGGTGGGGGCTGGTGGTGGAAGGGGTCTGGCGGGGATTCGGCCAGGCTGGACTACTCTGAGAGGGAAGGTCTGGGTGACAGGCGGAGAGACTAAAAGGAGGCGGAATCAGGGTGGGGCCTGGGGAAAGCGGAGGATCCTGGGGAAATGCAAAGAAGACGAGAAGGGGGAGGGACCATGGAGGGCGGGGCCTTGGTTACAGGGGAGGAGCCTGAGGGATTAAAGAAACGAGGAAAGGGGACAAGCCCTGGGAAGGTGGGAGCTGGGACAAGGGAGAGGGTGGGCCGGCCTGTTGTGGGGGCGGAGCTCTGGCCAAAGTGGGGAGGTTTGCAGGCCGAGGCTGCAGCTAGAGCTGCTCAATTACTGCCCCAATCTATTACCTCCTCAAGTGCAACGGGACCCACGGAACTACAGGTGTGGGGCGGGGTACGCGAGAAAGAAGAGACAAGGACGAGGGTGCGCTTGGCCAGACAGGAGGTGGGCGGGGGGGGGGGCACCGTTAGGGATGAAGAGAATCTGGAGATTGCTATGGGGGTTGGACGCGGAGTTAGGGGAGCAGTTAAGGCAAGGAGGCATTATCCAGGGACCCATGTGGGGGAAGGGCGAGAGTGCTTTGTGGAGGTGGGAAGCACAACGTTAGGGGGCGGGGTCGCTGTCTGATGTGGAGAGTTAATGGGGATACATGAGGGGGAGGGGATTTGGAAGACCTTTAGGGGAAGAGGACTGGTGATGGAGAAGCACTGGTGGTCCAGAGTGTGGAAGGGTCTGAGGGGGCTATGTGGAGGAGGAGGGGATGCGCCTGGGAGCACTGTGTGAGGAGAAGGGTTGTAGGCCCAGTCGAGACGGGAGAACCACGACAGGAGAACCACTGGTACTTTTAGAAAGTAACAGTCTAAGGCATTGTAGGGACTTCAGGAAGACACTTGTGTTTTGTGTTCTAGGGGTGAGGGTGATGGATTTAGCTGGGGTTGAAGAAACTAGTTTGTAGTGCTCCTGGCTGCTCAATTCCTATCTTATGGCCTGGGCACTAGAGAAGCAGCCAGATCCGGCTGCTACCAGGTCTTATGTGACTGTCTTCTTAGTCTATCTTGGATCTGTGGGGCTGAGACAGGGATTTCTTCCCCTAGCTGATGTCCCCCGGAGACCCTTCCCCCATGGGGTTTCTGTCAACCCCCAACCCTAGTTCCTGTTCCTCCCAGAAGCCTGCCTTGGTCTCTACCCCCCTCCCCCATTTTGCCCTGCCCTTAAGCTCTTGGGTGTGCTCATTTCCCACTTCCTTCCTCACCCTGGGGCCTGGCCTGGTCCTTGCCCTGCCTGGGACTTTGTACTCCATGACCAGAGACCACAGTAACCAGCAATAAGGTTCAGATCCCATCCCACTACTACCACCAAGGTCTCTGCCAACTGATTTAAAAGTGACTGGTAGCCACATTTTACTGCTTGTCAGTAACTGATTTTCCCCATCCTTGTCCTTCCTCTGGGTGAGGAATCCTAGGGCCCTCAGGAATTCTGGGCTTCTCTGGGAGGGAGGGAAGAAGTAAGGAGTACTGAGGATCTTTGATTTGTCTTTTCAGGGGTAGGCTGCTATTGTAAGCCTAACCTTGGAAGGGATGTGAGGTTCCAGCCTCAGCTAGGGGAGGAAAAGGGAGTGGCTCCCCATACTCTTGGATTGGAAATTGTCAGAAGTAGGACCTAGTCCTCTTGATGGGGGGGTTGGGGGAGCTCCTCTGCTACCTTATGGGGACTTGAAATAATGCCAGAGGTCTTTTTGCTTCTGCTGGCTGGGAGAGGGTGGGAAAGGGCTGCTTTCCACACCGTGACTGAATGAGTGTGACAGTATTGCTGAAAGGGGCCCTAAGCCAGTCTTCCATACAACCACCCAGTAGCTGAGAGACTGGCTGGGGMGGGGGGCTGCTGAGGCCAGACAAAGCTGTGGGTAGGGTGGGGTAAAGGAGGGCAAACTGAAGCCTTTTGAAGAGGAACTGATTGCTATGGCAACACTGCTTCCCAGACAGTCTCTCAGAGAGGGCGGGCCTAGGGTAGACTCACACCAGCTTCCTCAGGACTGGGGCATTTTGTGTGAGTGGGTGGGGCGTGAAGAGAAAGGGCATCAGTTTGCTGCTGAGGCTGGAGTACATAGCCTTTCTGCTTTGGTGAAAGCTGCAGGGCATTCAGATAATTGGGTTCATCCTCTGAAGTGGACATGAGTGAACAACAGTTATTAGAATTATAAGGCCAGAGTTGTAAAGGCCTTCAGTGGTCATTGTTTATACAAATCCCTCATTTTACAGAGTTGGAAATTTATGGCCAAAGAGACTGATTTCCCAGGTCTCATAGTGAAAGAAAAGGAGTTAGAATCCATATCTGATTWTTATTCACCAGCCCTGCACACACTGTTTTTCTTTGCCAATGTTTATTGAATACCTATTAAGTCTCAGGCCCTGAGATGTTGACCCTAAGAATATGACCATGGACAAAAGACAGATAAGTTTGCTGTTCTCGTGGTGCTTCTATCTAATAAAGGAAAAGAAAAATCGGTATATGTTTGTGAGAAAGGACATAGGTCAGTTTGTGATAACCACTAATTAAAAGGAAAAAAAAAAGGCAAGGTAAATTTTAGGACATAAGACCTCTTGATTCTACCATGCCACGTTTCCCAGAGCATACAGAGGCCTGGAATATCTTTGATACTTCTCCATGAGTTACTGTTCCCTGGCCTTTGTAGGGTATATAAGGCCAGGCCAAATGGTAGTGGAAATGAGGTAGAACAAGATAGGGTTGCTAAGGGATTGTTCCTTTACTACACTGTTCTGTATCTCTACCTGTTTTCCCAGTAAGGTTTTACTCTGCAATTTTGGTCAGGGTGTTAAGAATTTCTTTAATCCTATTCCTTAATATTAGGGAACCAGCCAGCAAGGAAGTCAGTCTAGGGGAATTGGGTTCTTTTTCAGGGCTTTCCCCTCATCTGAGGTAAGGAGAAGGGAGCCTAAAAGAACTGTCACTTGCTTGCCCCCCTAAGTCTAAAGCAAAAAGACCTAATAGGGAAGGACAGCTCCTTTTACTGTCTGGCGATAATCTGATGGTCTTGGGTAGCTCACAATAAAGTAGAAACAAGAACCTAAAGCTTTTCGTTGCCTCTCAACTGTAGAATAATGGACTTTACTTCTTTTGGCTTTTATGTTTGCCTCCTACTTCTGTGGATGACAGAGGAATCTGGACTGATTTCTGATAACCTGTATGACTTCCTGATAAGTTCAAAGGGTGAGCTAGACAGAGCTATCCATTTTCTTAGGTTGCTTCTAGAAAAGGTCCTCTAAAAAGTCTTTGAACACCTAATTCTTGCAGAGGTTTCCATCCTGGTCATTTAAAGAATAGGAGGACAGGGTTAGAGACTTTTTCTGCTGCCACTTTACTTAGCTAGATCTGGGATAGGGCCTGGGGCCCAGTGACTCAAGGGGAGGATTGGGAGTTTCGAGGGAGCTGTGAGTCATGAGGATAAGCTCCATCACAAGAGTTGGGCTCATTTCCCTAGCTCTGGGCAGAAGCCCTCCTATCCTGCTTCCTAATGTTCTCTGCTCTTTGAATATGGACTTGTGAGTAAAAAGTGCTGGCAACTGGGATGGGGCAGCCTGATCTCGGAATAGGAGTTCAGAGACACRAAGAATAATACCTAGGTTCCTGAAATTAAAATTTACCCTTAAATCAGGAGTCCTTGGACCCCTCTAACAAAGGCAAAGGAACATAAATTAGCTGTAGGAAAAGGATGAATACCATTTCTCAGCACGGTGAAGATAGGGTATTAAATTAGATCTTCTGCTCTGGCATGAAGCTTCCTGGGCTCCAGCAGTCCTGTGGCTTTGAGCTCTGGTTTGGAATGTGGGGAGAGTAGAGTGGGAATGGGTATATTTGGGGGTAGGGTCTGGTGTAAGAAGAGCAGGTTGATTTGGGGGGTTGTTGAATTGCGTATGTGAAAGCGCTGTGACTTTCTGTTAATCAGTCTCTGAACAGGAAGGATGGGGGAGGAGGGTTGAGAAGTGGGAGGCCTGCACCTTTGAAAGGGTTAAATGGCAGGACAGGAGTTGCTTTGGCAKCTGAGGAGTTAAGGAGATGGGCGGGGCGACCTTGGGTAGGCCTGCCCCCTTATGGACCAATAGGCGTGCACCTACAGTAGAGGGCGTGACTTACACTGAGGGTCGCAGGGAGGCTGGCCTCCTATAAGCCAATGAGCATGGTTGCTGCTCAGGGGGCGTGGTCTTAGGGGGGCGTGGCGGCAGCTGCGGGGGTGGTGGGGCGCTGGGCGGGGCGGGCGGCCCCATCAGCTGGTAGGAAATGGCCTGTGAGTCAGAGGGGCAGCGGAGTCGGCGGCGCGGAGCCGGGGTGGCCCCGGGGAGGGATCGGCGCGGGGAGGGGCGCAACAGCGGCTGGGGGGCTGCGGGCGCGAGGGTCCGCTAGTATTGCACACGAAGCTGATTAGGAAGAGCCTCGCAGAGCAGGGCTCAGCCTGAGCTACCCTTTGTCTGGGTTGGGGGCCCGTGGCAGGGAGGACCGAGGATCGAGGGGTGGGACCGGGACAGGACGGAAGGGCCCGGAGCAGCGGCCACCGCAGCGGAGCCAATTTGGGAGCGGGGTGAGTGTGTGCTAAGGGGAAAGAGCAAATCTCCGAAGCTACAGTAGGTTATGGGGCCTGTCCCAGGGTATGGGGAGGAAAGGACCTGGGAGACTAAGCAAGGGGAGGGGAATCGACCAGAAAAAGGAGTCCAGAAGCTAAGGTGAGTCTGCTTGGCTTAGTTTGGAGGGGTTACTGAGATCTGCTCCCTCTCCTCTAAGTGTGAAGGGCTCTAGGCTGGGGCCAGGGGGTTGGTGAGAAAGCAGAGGTTGACCTTTCTACCCACAGTGGTGGTCTGTAAGAACAATCYCCCAAGCTTGTAGAGACAAAATATAAAATAGCCAGCAGTAGTTCTCTTTGCACAGGATGAGGSTGGAAAGCACATAGGTAGGAATTTTCCTTCCTGTCACCTCCTTAGTCAGAGCAGAAGTGAATATCTTTAACACTGAAGGGAAGGAAGGGGAGAATTAATCTAGGMGCTCTACCTATATCAATACCCACCTCTGTCACCTCCCTGGCCTAGCAGGTGTTTGAGGGTACAGATCCCATAGTATTCTGGGACTTGTTTTTTTTCTGTTTTGCTCCCTTGGCATGTTGGGAGCTGTAGTCCTTGCTAGCCACAGCCTGGCCCAGCTGTTTGATGCCAGCTGCTGCCCACCCCACGATGGAGGGTGAGGTTTGGCCTACCCTGCCCTGCCCCCCTGCAGTCCTGCCCCATGAGTCAGCTTGAAGCAATGGTCTAGAGCCAGACTGGCTGGGTGGCAGGAGAGTGAATCTTCCAGCTTCTCATTGATGGGGCAGGAACTGCAAGGGCTCTGGGGTAATGAGCAGATGCCAGGCATGCTAGGGTCAAGTAGGGCATCATGTCATCACCTGGCTTCCCCAGGGCAAGGGCTCAGGCAGGCAACTGGGAGACATAGGATGTGAGGGTGCTAAGGAAAAGGCCCTTTCTGAACCTGTATGGCTTGGATGAAGAAATGGATGGGTAGAGATCAGAGTTCACATTGTATCCTCTGACAACACTGCCACTGGTGTTCCACCCTTTCCAGCCATCCCACCCACCACAAGGGACCAGAATTTTCTTAGGTATTTCAATTCTAATGAGGATTTGATGAGATGGGAAAGTGTAGGATGCAATGATGAGAATAATTTGAAAAGGAAAGGTTTTCAATCCCTGAGTGCAAATATCCCTTCTCTCCCCACCTCCCACCTCCCACCCCCCACTTCTGTTGTTGCTGATTCTTCCTGTGCWATTAATCTCTCTGCTTCTCTCATCAGGAAGTTTTCCCCCTGCACTGTCAGGACTGCTGCCCAAATCTCTGGGGCTAGCATTCCACTTTTTGAGTTTGTCATGTGCTTTCCTCTGTGTTTGGAGATGAGTAAGATAGTGGGGCACAGACATGTCTTCAGGAATCCTGTGGCTGGTCTAGAAGATGCTCATATTTACATGAGGTAGTGACACTCCCATAGGTGAGGTCTCAGATGAGGAAGATTATGGTCTGGGGTAAAGAACAGACTTTCTGTTGTACTTTATTTATTTTAGAGTGCTGGAAACTGAACCCAAGGCCTCATGCATAGTARGCAAGTGCTATATCTCTGAGCTACATGCCCAGTCCCAGAGCTGATTTTTTGGAAGGGTTGGCATTTGAAGGAGGAAGAATATGGCTAGGAGAGGCATACAAAGGGCCTACCTTGAAGGAGAAAGGGCATTGTAGGTGGCAGGCAGCAAAAGCTACTGCCCAAGGGAGAAAGCTGACCCTGGGGGCTTTCAGCTTGACAGTTTTTTCACCCTAGTATAGGCACCTGAGTGTACACTAGTCCATGGAGATAATCATGCGCCCTGGCAGAAAAGCAGTGGTTTGGGTATAGGTGTTTTTGGGTGTGTGAATCCTGGGGGAGGGGCATGGAGATACTTCTAGTTGCTTCCAGCTGACTGCCTGCTGCTGCCTTATCTCTAGTTCACAGAGCCTAGGGGGAGGGGCAGGCCCTGGGAAGTGTCTTCTGGTGTCCCTTCCTCCCCTGCCACTTGTTTTTGATTGGATTTGTTGTCTCTTGTTAAAAAGAGATTGCTGGGGGAGATTGGGAGTTCAAGGCTATAGGGCTGGCTTTGAGCTGACCTGAGGTTTGTGCCTCTGAGAAGAGTAATGGGGTGTGACAGTCTACAAGAACTCTGCCCTTAGCACTGTGGGGTGCCACTTGTCCTTTTTGATATAGACATATGGGAAAGAGTTGTGCAATTCCACAGCCTTGAGTAAGAGAGCTGAATTATTTCCCTGCCCACCCCCTAGCTGACATGATCTCTTGGATCTTGAGGGTATTTCATTCCCCCTCCAATTCAGGGCAGGAGTCCCCAAGATGGTGGCCCTGACAAATAGTTCATTTTGCCTCATTTCTTAACATCCTTTTTACATTGAACCAAGACCTACCTTTCTGTGACTCCTCAGGTAGCTCAGCTGTACAGCCTGGGTGCTGGATCTGGAGCTTACTTCTGAAGTGCTCATGGTGTGGGAGAATGGTATCCTGGAGTATACTCTATTAGCCCACAATCAGGGAGGGCCCTTACTACTGACTCCACAGATCCTGGTTTATTTCTGTTCTTTATTCAGGGTCCAGCTGAACCCAGGAGCTGCCCGGAATGGTGGCAGTCACCTTGCCAGTGCAGCAGGCATGGACCAGACTGCAAGCTAGGGGAACAAGGCATCAGTCTGGAAGAGGGGACACACATCTAGGCTTGAGGCCCCTTCATCGGGGTAAGTGCCAGAAAGTGGGAGTGGGGAGCAGGTGCAGTAAGAAACTTGAGCTAAATAATGTCATCCTCTCAGAAGTTCTAAGAGTGGCCTCTGTATTCCATTAATCCATCTGGGGATTTGGATACCTTCATCCCCAGGAATTTCTCAAGGTCACTTCTTCAGGTTAAGGGAAGGTCTGAAACTCGGCTGGAAGGAGAAGACTCATTAATTTCCTTGATCTTCTCTTCTCTTGCACAGATGTCCCCAGGCCCCCCAACCCAGGCCCAGCATAAAGGCCGTGTGGGGGGGCCCCCCTGACCCAAGGGGAGCTTCATGCGCCACGTGCAGGCGGAGCCGTCTCCATCCTCAGAGCCAGAGGCTGGCCCTTCACAGCCTCCAGTCAGACAGGGGACCCTCCAGGGTGGCCTGCTCATGGGCTACAGCCCAGCAGGGGGGGCAGCATCCCCCGGGGTCTACCAGGTATCCATCTTTTCCCCTCCAGCTGGTGCCTCTGAGCCTCACAGGGCTCTGAAGCGGCCCGCCCCACCTACTGAGGGTCCCCGGGAGCTGAAGAGAGGCCCTGGGCTGGGGGCCAGAGAGGGATTACCCCCTGAAGAACCATCTACTGTGGGGCTATTGGCCCCAGAGGGACTGGGTCTGGGACTGGGTGTGGCCAGCCAGCATTTCTCCCATCATGGCCTCTGTGTTGTGGAACAGGGAGGTAATGCCACCTCACCTTGGACTTCAGGGGCCCGAAGATCCCCCTGGCTCCCATCAAATGCTTCCTGCAATACTTTGCACACCAGAGACTGGGCTTCCCCAGATCCAGGGGGACAGGGGTCCCTGGGGGAGTCTCCAGGGCCAGCCCCTTCAGGCCAGCTGCACACACTTGACACTGATTTGCACAGTCTTGCACAAATAGGGGGTAAGAGCCCAGTGGCTGGGGTGGGCAACGGGGGAAGCCCCTGGCCTAGGGAGTCCCCTGGCACTGCCAATGGGCACAGTCCCGAGCACACACCCCCTGGCCCTGGACCTCCAGGCCCCTGCCCTACCAAGCGAAGGCTGCTTCCCGCTGGAGAAGCCCTGGATGTCAGCTCTGAGGATGAGGGGCCAGCCCCTCGGAGGCGCCGGGGAACCCTGGGCCACCCTCCTGCTGCCAACTGTTCTGATGCCAAAGCCACACCCTTCTGGAGCCACCTGCTGCCCGGGCCCAAGGAGCCTGTTTTGGTAAGCCCGTAGAGGAGCTCATCTACTCCTAAGAGGATATTTGTGTGATTAATGGTGGAGGCCTGTGAAGATGTTCCTCTAGAGCTTGTGATGAGCTCCTCTCCACCACCTTTCTCAATGTTTTCTCTCAATAGGACTCAAGAGACTGCAGTCCCGTGGGGCGGAGGCTGAAAGGTGCCCGTCGCCTGAAGCTGTAAGTGACCAGCTTCTCCTTCTACCCTATCTGTGAGAGTTGGCACAAAAGTCTGTAATCTTCTTTCTAACACTAGAGTAGGGGACCCCAGAGCAGGAACCACTTGATAGTGGCAAAGGGTGGAGCCGAAGGATATGAGCAGGAATCCCAGAATTCCTCAAGCCAACCCATTGTGTCCCCTCCCCTACCAGGAGCTCCCTTCGAAGCCTCCGGAAGGGACCAGGCCTGCTGAGCCCCCTCAGTGCCTCCCCTGTTCCTACCCCTGCTGTCAGCCGTACCCTGCTGGGCAACTTTGAGGTAGCTCCCCCTGGGCTTTGTGATTGGGGGATCCTGGGAGGAGTGGGATAGTGGAATGTGGTTTGGATGGATAAGGAAAATAATGGCATCTGTCTCATAATGTGTTTTCCCCACTCTAACACCAGGAATCATTGTTGCGAGGACGCTTTGCACCATCTGGCCACATTGAGGGCTTCACAGCAGAGATTGGAGCTAGTGGGTCCTACTGTCCCCAGCATGTCACGCTGCCTGTCACTGTCACCTTCTTTGATGTTTCTGAGCAAAATGCCCCGGCCCCCTTCCTGGTATGACTTGACCTYACACCAAAGTTAGCACTTCAGAAGGAGGAGGGATTGGGGACTGGGCCAGGGGCCCAAAGGTATTCCTTAGATGTTCTTCACCTAAAAGTAAGTCAGGGCTAGTGTGGGAGCGAATCCAGAATGAGATTTTGGAGAGACTGGTATTCAGGGCTTTCCTGGTCCCCAATTTGGTTGATGGCTCTTTGGTTTTCCTAGGGTGTCGTGGACCTGAATCCCCTGGGGAGGAAGGGTTACAGTGTGCCCAAGGTGGGCACCATTCAAGTGGTGAGTGTCCTCTGAGGGATTGGGCATGGGGRAAGAAGAAAACAGCCCTTAGGCTATACCAACTTTGAATATCCTGCCCCCAGACCTTATTTAACCCCAACCAGACTGTGGTGAAGATGTTCCTTGTGACCTTTGACTTCTCGGACATGCCTGCTGCCCACATGACCTTCTTGCGCCATCGCCTCTTTTTGGTGCCTGTGGGTGAGGAGGGAAATGCTAGTCCCACCCACCGCCTCCTCTGCTATTTGCTGCACCTCAGGTAAGGACAGGATCCAGGTATCCCTCCCGTGAATAAAAGAATCTTTCCTGGCTTCTCTAGTTCTGGATTCTTACCTTGATCACACTGTCTTTCCATAGGTTCCGGAGCTCCCGCTCAGGCCGATTAAGCCTACATGGAGATATCCGCCTGCTTTTTTCCCGACGGAGCCTGGAGCTGGACACAGGGCTCCCCTATGAACTGCAGGCCGTAACTGAGGCCCCCCACAATCCACGTTATTCTCCTTTTCCCTGATTGCCAGTGCTCTGAACCTAGGTGGGCCAAAAGCCTGCCCATCCTGCTCCATCCTGGACAGAGTAAACACGTGGMGAAATGGCGAAAATCCCTTAGGATTGAATTAAAGTCCTCACCATGCTCATGCCCAAATTGATTATTTGGGTATTTAAAGCTTCTGATCCTTCCACACCCTGCCCTACTCCGGGTACTCCATGTGCCTGTTCCCTCCCTTGGGTTTCCCAGGCCAGCTTAGGTAGTACAGAGGAACCAGAGCTACCCTGAGATTGTCCCAAGTCCCCAGGCAAGTCATGCCAGCGTTGCCTCCCTGTCCTGGGCAGGGGCCACTTCTTATTTTATTTATTTTTAATTTATAATTTATTCAAATTGGATTGCCTTGGTAACCTCCCAAACCTGATAATTGGCATCATCCTTCCTCCTTTCTCACTCTCAAATATTGCTCCAAACTCAGGAGTTGAAGAGGCTGAAGTGTGGGGGCAGGGAGAAAACTGCTCTTCCTCAGCTGAGGACAGAGGGATTATCCCAGAGGGACTGAGTCACTAGCCAAAGACTCAGCTTCCCCTGTCCTTCCCTGTTACCTTCCCTTCCCCTACCCTTCAATCCATCTTTGAAAGCCAACTTATGTGAGTGTGTGTGTGTGTATGTGTGTGTGTGTGAGCAAGCACAAGCTTGTGTTTGTGATATTTGTGAGAAAAAGAGTGTGCATGCATGCACACACACAGGGGTTAACCACCCCTCACCTGGGGCTCCAGACTCAGTTGTCCCTTTCCTCTTGCCTATATCTCCTTACTTTGGGTCCTGACTGAGGAAGGTGTCCAGGGACAGAGTCAGGGCCAAGGACAGGGATGTCTCCTCTCACCTGGCCAGATTCTGACCCACCTACCTCAGCTGGGATAAGGGGCATCCCTCAAACTCAGTTATGTGGCTCCCAACTACCCTGTTCCCCACTCCAGACTCAGACCCAGCCTCAGCCCTTGACTCCTGGGACATGACTGAGGGGAACAAGCATTTGCTGAAACTTGAAAAAAACAAAAACAAAATGAAACAAACAAAAAAACAGGAAAAATTGTACCTGGTACTTTTTTTTTTTTAGGAAAATAAAATTTAAAAATAATAAATTCTTGTTTGGAAACTTGAACTAAGCTCTATTTTTGTTTTCTGTTGGAGAGAGGATGTAAAGGGTGATGGAGGGCCTAACTGAAGCTGTGACCCTGCCCTTTCTTCTGGAGTGGAGGAAGCCTGAGCCCATGAAGTCTTGGGCTAAGTCCTGCTGATTCTAGGGGCATGATTTTGCTTTTTTTATTCAGGTAATGAGGGTGCTGGGGGAGAGCTGAACTCTATACTGGTTTTGTTRATGATTTTAGCTCCTCAGAACTTCAGTGCCCTATGAGGATGACAATTATACAGGTTTCTTAAAGGGAGTGCCATAGCATCAGGGATTTGTGCAAGGTGACGTGCTTTAGACGAGGTTGAAGCTTGATGCTGTTTGCTGGACTCTATGGGAGGACCAGGCCTGACAGACTTCTACTGGGAAGAAGTGGAAAGAGCTGTGGTACCTCGGGAAAAGAGGGGAGGGTAAATCTCGGCTCAATCGACAAGCAAAGTTAGGCCCTATTACCATGGCAACGGGAATGGGGTCAGTCCCCAGTGGGAGAGCTGGGCACAACACAGCAGGCCTACCACAGAATGTCACTGTGGCAACCATGGCAACGAGTCAGTTCCAATCCAGGAGTCGCTATGGTAACACACGGGCGTGATTATACACTTTAGAGGGTAAATTGGGTATCAAGTAGGGTTAAAGAACTCGGTAGTAGGTGTTTCTGGGTCACTTGCGAGAGGAAAATAGACTCCATTTCGGCCACGATGCCTCGGATTTTGGACGCCAACTACCAGAACCAGAACAAACCAGCCTCCGGCCCTCTGCGTTTCCCCGGGAACAACTTAAACATGCTCTTCCAAGGAACTCCGATTGGGTGAGCGTGGAGTGGGGGGGAAAAGGCGGCGGAAGTACATCCGGGGGAGTGGAACTGCTGAAGGAAAGCCTCCGGTGAGGGCTTCTGGCGCGGCCTCTCTGCTCCGCGTCTCGTTGGTTCCGGAGGTCGCCGCGGCTGTGGGAAATGCTGGCGCGCGCGGCGCGGGGCAGTGGAGCCCTTTTGCTGAGGGTGAGAATGAGACAACCTTCTCCAGAGGGTCGGGACAGAGATCACCTGGGTCCTCAGCTAGGAAGGAGAGGGTTTCCAATTTTGGGAGAGGACTGGGGTCAGAGGTCATGGGCCCCACGTGAGTCATTCTCCGAGGACCCTTGTGAGTCGAGGTTTAGGGCGATGCCTTCAGGACAGAGGGGCATGGTGCTGGGCCAGCGGGGGTCTCAGCTTACTCTTGTCTTTCCTTCAGAGCGCTGTGCAGGCTTCTGCCCGTCCTCCGCGCCGCGCCTCCTCAGGATTGCCCCGAAACACAGTAGTACTGTTTGTGCCGCAGCAGGAGGCCTGGGTGGTGGAGCGAATGGGCCGATTCCACCGGATCTTGGAGCCAGTGAGAACCTTTTGCGCACCTCGGGGCAGCCTGATGCCTGGATCCCTTGAATGTGGGAGTGATACCTCCTTGGGGCCTGTCTGCACCTTTGGCTCTGAACTCTTGGGACCAATGCTAGCAGGGCCCAGGCTACTGACGTGCATCCCATGTTACCACCTTTTCCTATTACCCTAGCATCCTTCAGGTCCATTCTTGCTACTACCTACTCTCTCAGCCCCACCTGTCCCTACTAGAGATAGCTATTCTCCTGGCTCCCATTCCCTACCTTTCTCTTCATTCAAAGGCCTAATCGTGCATTCGGGTGCTATTAGGTTACTTTACCACTGACATCCCAGGCTTCTGGGGACACCTCTTGGCAGGGGCTACTGCACATGTTTACTCCCTACTTACTCCAGTCCTAGCTTCAATTCCAACTGCATTACCCCCATCCTTCTGAGGATCCATGACTCCTCTTCCCAGGGCTTGAACATCCTCATCCCTGTGTTAGACCGGATCCGATATGTGCAGAGTCTCAAGGAAATTGTCATCAACGTGCCTGAGCAGTCGGCTGTGACTCTTGGTGAGGGTACAGGGTGACACGGGTGCACTGAGATCATTAGGATGTGGTTRCTACATAGATCCACAGCTTAGGAGAAAGAGCTGACTGGGACCTAGGGCTGTGACCTTCATTTTCTCTCCTGCTTCTATTCCTGCAGACAATGTAACTCTGCAGATTGATGGAGTCCTTTACCTACGCATCATGGACCCTTACAAGGTATTTGCCTCCTGCTTTATCCAGTCTTCTGAATTGCCCTCCTCACTAAAATCCTGTACCAAAGCTTTTTACACTTTTCATTCTCCTTTAGGCAAGTTATGGTGTGGAGGACCCTGAGTATGCTGTCACCCAGCTAGCTCAGACGACCATGAGATCAGAGCTTGGCAAACTTTCTCTGGACAAAGTCTTCCGGGTAYGTGGATCTGAAGCAAAGTTGGGGTTTGAAGCATGTGCTTGGCAGCTTGGCACTGTCAGTCCTTTCTGGGAAACAAGATCAGACCCAGGCCCTTATTATCTTAGCTCCCTGGTAGGTAGGTTAAAGCTGTGGAGCTTACATCTTTTTCCCTCTAGGAGCGGGAGTCCCTAAATGCCAACATTGTGGATGCCATCAACCAGGCTGCTGACTGCTGGGGCATCCGTTGCCTCCGTTATGAGATCAAGGATATCCATGTGCCACCTCGGGTGAAAGAGTCCATGCAGATGCAGGTAGGGAAGAGGACCTTGGTAATCCAGTCCCAGAGGGACTTAGAGTATCTTCCTTACTGGCATGAGTATAGTTGGAGGTCTTAGTAAGGGTTTCCCCTGGTTTGTTGATAAGGGTTGCTGGGGGCTTCCAGGTGGAGGCAGAGCGGAGGAAACGGGCCACAGTTCTAGAGTCTGAAGGAACCCGAGAGTCGGCCATCAATGTGGCAGAGGGAAAGAAACAGGCTCAGATCCTGGCCTCTGAAGCAGAAAAGGCTGAACAAATAAATCAGGCAGCAGGTGAGCAGAGGGTAGAGGCTGAGGAATGAGGAGGGCATGGGTCTTTGAGAGTTGGTACTGGGACAGGAACTTTGGGGTACTCTGATTTTATGGGTTAAGCTCTCTATCTTTTCTTCCAGGAGAAGCTAGTGCAGTTCTGGCCAAGGCCAAGGCTAAGGCTGAAGCTATTCGCATCCTGGCCGCAGCTTTGACACAACATGTGAGAAATCCTCAGTTAGGAGTGGGGAACAGGAATTGACAATGGAGGGGGTTCTCTCATCCACCGTTGAGAGAAGTTCCTGCCATTCGGGGTCCTATTAAACCAGATTACATAAGCGCTTGTATTATGACTTGCATACCCTCTTTCTTGAAACCTCACCTCCTTTCTCTTCCAATATCCCCTTCTCTAAATCTGTGATCCCTGATTTTATTCCCCTGTGGCTATAGAATGGAGATGCAGCAGCTTCACTGACTGTGGCAGAGCAATATGTCAGTGCGTTCTCCAAACTGGCCAAGGACTCCAACACTATCCTACTGCCTTCCAATCCTGGYGATGTTACCAGTATGGTGGCTCAGGTTAGAGCTGTCTGAAGACCCCAGGGGCACAGAACCCCAGTCCTGGGGGCTGAAACCCTCACTATCAGCACCACTTAACACATCATGGAGATCTTCAGGTTGCCTTGGCCCTTGATTTCTCTTCATTCCTTATAGAGAAGGAATCTCTAAGAATGAGACACTTTCACTCACTTCTGCAGATAAGGAAACTCAAGATACCTTTCTGTAGATACCTATGTTAGAGTTCTGAGGGTCACCCTGCTCTGATAGTTAGTGAGATTCCTAGAGCTGACTTTAAATCCTTAAAGTCTAAGGGTTGAGGGGAGGGGAGAAAGAAAATCCAAGCTCACTAGTCCCAGCCACACCTTTTTCCTTTTAGCCATTGGTAGGTTCGGCTATACCTTCTGCCATTTGTCTTTATGGCTTTTTCTCTATCCCTCTTCTCAGGCCATGGGTGTATATGGAGCCCTCACCAAAGCCCCAGTGCCAGGGGCCCAGAATTCGGTTTCTACCAGGAGTGGCAGAGATGTCCAGGGCACGGATGCAAATCTTGATGAAGAACTTGATCGAGTCAAACTGAGTTAGTGGAATTGGCCTTGGCCAGGGAGTCTGGGGACGGAAGCAGCACTATTAGTTTCTGGCTTTAGTCTCCCTGCCAAGATTTKGGGTTTTATTTTTTTAATTTGAACTTATTAATCATGTAATAAACTCACTAGTGGTATACCAGAAACTGTCCTCTTTGATTGGTAATGAAGTTGGGAAACCCACTGTTGTTTTTCACCCTCTAGTCCTGTCAGCTCTTGGGAACTCATGCTTCCATGAGCAAGAATGAACATCATGTAAAGTGAAATCTGCCTTTCTGTCTTCAAGAGAAACTGGGCCAGGTGCAGTGGCACTCTCCTGTGATCCCAGGAAGTTGGGAGCTGAGGCAGAAGGATCCCAAGTTCAAGGCCAGCCTAGGCAATTTAGACCTTATCTCAAAATAAAGAATAAAAAGGATTGGGGATTTAGCTCGGTGGCAAAGTGCCCTTGGATTCAATCCTCAGTACTGCAAAAAATAGAAAAAGAAACTAGGATAGTATGGAAGGATTAAATCACATGCCTACTGCCAGCTGGGGAGTTAATCTCCCTCCTGCTACATGTAGGGTTATGTGTTTTGAGGCAGGTGKTTAGGGATTTTACACAGGAAAATTGCTCTGACAGGGTAGTACTGCTAAGTGCTTCAAAGGTCTTCAAGGACTGAGGGCAGTTGTAATTCATTTATTCAAAAACATTTAATGAAGTCTACATGTGCCAAGCTCAGTGTTAGATGTGAGTTATAAAAACAACTGCCTTTGATTTCACAGAATCTGAGGTCAGATAGGGAAGACAAACAGACATTGATAGAAAGCCATAAGTGCTGTGTCGGAGGGRCTGTAATATTAAGTAGAGGATTCCAGGAAACCTCATCTAATGCTATATTTGAACTTAGATATAAAGGAGGGAAGGGAAACAGCCATCTGGGCATCTGGAATGAAGCTGACAAAGGAGATTGCAAATGCAAAGATTCTAAGAGCATGCCTGGTTTACAACCATGAGAGCAAAGGAAGGCTGAGGATATGGTATGGTAGAGCACTTGCCTAGCATGTGCAAGGTATTTGATCCTTGGGTTTGATTCCCAGCACTGCCAAAGGCAAAAAAAGCAAAGTGGCAAGGAGGTTAGTGTGTAGACTTGTAAGGTCATGTACGGCTTTATTATGCACATGAGAAACCATGGACTGASGTTGTGCCTCAGTGGTAGAGACTTGCCTAGCATGGGTGAGGCCCTGGGTTCGATCCTCAGCACCACATAAAAAATAAATAAAATAAAGGTTAAATTTTTTTAAAAAAGA